ATACATCGGAACTTTGATAGCCCGAGGGATTGGTTCTGACAGCGCATCGCTGCGGGCAGTGTTGACTTTTGTTGCCAGTCTACCTGCGGGGAGGCCTGCTATGACGTTTAACTGTGTCCCGACCAAAAAGGGGGCGCTTCAGATGACAAGTGCGAACCGACTACCTCCCAAAGTACACTTTGCTCTAGAAAACCTTATCAGGCTCTTCTTTCGTATCGAATATGTAGTTTTTGCTAGGGTAGCGAAGAGTATTTACAAGCTACCTCCGGTGGCTTATGCTGACAGCTGCACATTGGTACATTATGACAACGACGTGAACCCAGGCTGCCACTACTATGAAGCCGAAGGCATTGCCCTGAATATGAATGATATAATTGTACCAGCCCTTTCGAGGATCAGTGTAGTGCCTAAAGTCCACTGAACCTCAATCGGGCTTCGACCAAGACGTGGCGAAGTTTGAGGAACTGGCTGGCGCACCGACGCGAGACAACGACGCCGGAGAAGCCTCGGAAGCCGAACCGCCACAGGAGAGGGCGGCTCGCAACGATCCATGGGGAATCAGAAGCGGACCTCGAGGCGCGTGTTATGGAGGCGTGGTACACAGAGCTATATGAAGAAAGGGATCTATTGGAGGCAACTCCATTATGTAACCTTTACACAGTACCCGCACATATGATCACTGGCAACAGTGTCCTGGTCACGGTAGCTGAAGAACAGCGGGGGCGCCTGCTTACGTGGGGTCATCCACGCGACTCCGACATCGAGGAGACGTATCATGTCCCACTATGTTCCACGGGTGAAGACCATAGTTACGGATTGGACTCGGACGAAATCGGTCAATCTATTGAATTCTGCTTTACTGCAGACATGTCGCAGGTGGCCCTATCCGAACACAGCATAGGATATTAGACTTCGACCGCGTGGCCACCGTGCGAGTATATGTTGCCGCCGCCGCAAAACGAGCTGTGGTCGTCAAGGAGGGCGACTTCCTCGCGAAGGCCGCCATTCAGGCGAACCCAGTTAAGGTATCGAAGTCCCCATGTACTGATCTCGAGACATGGTTCGACAACAAGTGTTTCAATATGCAATATATATATATATATATATATATATATATATATATCCACAGCGTCAAAACATCATGACTTCGAGGTACGTATATAATTGGATGTTCGTAAAGAACGAATAGGGCAATATGGAACGTGCCATCAGACTGCGCCTGGTACTTCGGGGCTTCATGGGCCTCGAGGATGTCGATGTGGAAACATTTTCAGGAGCAGCACGGCAGTCAAGTCAGCGATTGCTCGCAAGCGCGGCAGCGTGCAAAAAGGAGTGGCCCATTGCTTCCCTTGACATCAACGTGGCTTTCTTGAAAGGGTTAACCTACCAAGAACTTTCTGAGGCAGCCGGTGCAATGGAACGTGTGGTGCGTTTATCCTTGCCGCCTGGATCAGCATCTGTGCTTCGACCCCTCCCAGGGTTCGAGCACTGCGATGAGTCGAAGCACTTGCTTGCAGCGCCTCAAGCCAGGCACCGGCACCAAGGATGCACCCAGAGCCTTCTCACTGAAGCTCAGGAGGACCACGGGGGGCTTTTGTCTCATGCCCACGTCCCACGGCGAGGAGTTTGAGACAAGCAGTAACCTTCTCACAGCACAATATATGTATGCTATCAATATGGCCGGTGCTGAGGACACAAGTGGCAGGTGCGTCAAGTGCGTCGAGGACACTTCTGGCAAGTGAATACTTAACAAACGCACATATACCAATTGCGCCGTGAGATACACAGGATGCTCACGGTAATGTTTCACTGGGTCAAAGTGAATGCATCAATCCGTCCTATAGAACATCCAGAACTCACGGGCGCATATGCCGACGCCAAAGCATCAAATATGGCTGCTGACATGTTTGTGAGCCTCAAGCGCGCTTTGGCTTACGCATTAATCACACTGGTGTGGTTGATGGTATATGTGGTTTCCCTGCAACGTGTCCAAGAACCGACCAATGTACTGGTTCGACGACTGAGCGCGATTAACAGGAAGCTGCAGGCCTGGCCTAAGAAGACTGTCTATCGATCGATGACTCCAACGGGCGAAGTTGACCTGCGCAGCGACTCTGGCTTTCGACGCCTGAGTGGAGATGCCGATGACGAGGTCAACGGCTATGGTATTCGCGGGGCAAATTTGCTACGGCGTGGAATCGCGCCAACTGGTAAGCCTGTCGTCCATCTGATCGATGCGCGCTGCGAGTCTCATCGCTTGCAGGTCCGCTCAAGCTATTCAGCAGAAAACACTAGCAGCTGCCCACAACTTGGAGGACTGCTATCCCACGATTGTGATTCTGTACGAACTCCACGCAGGGCCACTGACGCCCATTCAGTTGAACAATATAGTGGAGATGGGTGGCTTGAGCATTAAGGTCACTTTGACCATAGATGCTGAATCGGTCTTCAAGTCCTTGTCAAGCAAAGACCTGAAGAAACCCACCGGGTGTACTCTTTTGGGACACCTCAGTTGGATGCGACAGATGATGGAGCGAGGAGTCGTGCATGGTACCCAGTGGTGTGACACTCGCGACATGACCGCGGACAGTCACACAAAAGGGGGCATTGATAGGGATGTTGTCCTACAGGTCATGGGGGGAACGTAATCCTTCAAGCGTGACTTAAGGCGTCGTGCTCTCCTTACCGGGCTGGCAAGACAACATCGTCTGAGGCCGCCTGAGGAGTAATCGCTTGCAGAACGATGTGCTCGCAAGGCAACTTGCGCGCAGGGGCACTTGCATGCGGGTTCACCTTCCTTGCGAGCCCGCCTTTTGCTGCCTTCTGTATAGATAGTGTTTACTGTATAGGGGCGGCGGACTGACGCTATGCCACTCGCCCCCTCGATTCTAAAGTGCGCTGGGATAAGGGCGAGAGATGGCGATCGTTTGTCCGTGGCTGCCTGGGCTCGAGCGGCCGGCCGCCAACGTGTGACTGCGCCTCGTTGCGAGGCGTGCCACTTGCCATCGAGACCGAGAACGTCCTTCGCTTGAGGTGGCCCGTCGCTCCCGCGACGACCTCCTCCGACTGGGACTACCGTTGCTGCGGCGCAATAGAGCTGGAGCTGCGCTTCGCCTAAGGCGAAGCTTCTGGTGTGGCCTCCGGGCCTCCTTCAAACTGGCGCGATATGCCTCATCAGTCGGGGGCGTCGGAAACGCGGGAGGTTTCTTGTGGAGGCCTACCATAGTTTTACATTTTTATTGGCATTCCAGCGCGCCTCAGCGTGCCGCCGGCATCCAGGTGTGTCATGACATCTCGTTTGATGTTTAAATTGTATTGGTGGACGCGTCGTTCACCAGTACTCATCGGTCGTTGGATGTTTTTTTTTGGGGTGGTTTTATATTTATATATATATAAACGCATAGTCGAATCTATTGTAAGCGCCTTCATACTTCAAATATCGAGCGGTTTCCCCTCTTCCTCTTCAGGGGGCGGGCGGACACCCAATCGACTCTCAACGCCTTTCTACTTCATGCTTCTACCTACTTCTCCCGACCGATGGGTAAGCATTCATCAGTGATTCATTTTTCAAGCACAATTTTTGTTAACAAACAGTCGCCCACAATTTATCCGACGGCGTGCTAAAGAGCTTTGCATTTTGCTTGCCATGACAACTGTGTGGTGGCCCGTTGGCTTAAATTATGATGGCACCACAAGCAATTGCGATCATTTTTCACTTATTAGTGTGCTGACATGCGAAAGAGCGCGCTATGTGGTCGCTTGGAGGTGGGGGGTTGGAACCAGACCCCCCCCTTGGCAGGAAAGGGGGGGGTTCGACCCCCCCCCCTCCCATCCTGGCGGCGGCGGCGGCTGGCGGCGGCTGCGGTTGGCGGCGGCGGCGGGGACGACGATTTCGTTTTCCCGGCCGGCGCCGGCGCCTGCGGCGGCGGGCGGCGGCGGCGGGGAGCGTCGCGGGGGACGACGGCGGTGGTGGTAATGGTGGGTTGTGGTGGTGGTGGCGGCGGTGGTGGTGGTTGTGGTGGTGGTGGTGTGGTTGTTTGTTGTGGTGGTGGTGTGTTGGTGGGTGGTGGTGGTGGTGGTGTGGTGCTGGTGTGCTGGGTGTTTTGTGGTGGTGTTGATGGTGGTGGTGGGTTGTGGTGGTGGTGGTGGTTTGGTGGTGGTGTGGTGGTGGTTTGTGGCGGTCTGTGTTGGTGGTGGTTGGTCGTGGTGGTGGCGGTGGTTTGTGGAGGTGGTGGTGGTGGTGGTGGTGGCGGTGGTGGTGGTGGTGGTGTGGTGGTTTGTGGTGGTGGTGGTGGTGGGTTGTGCTGCTGGTAGTGGTGGTGGTTGTGGCAGTGGTGGTGGTGGTGGTGGTGTGGTGCATCGTGGTGGTGGTGGTAATGGTGGTGAGTTTTTGTGGTGGTGGTGGTGGTGATTGTGAGTTACGGTGGTGGTGGTTGTGGTGGTGGTGGTGGTTGCTGTGGTTGTGGTGGTGGCTGTGTGGTGGGTTGGTGGTGGTGGTGGGTTGAGGCGGTGGTGGTGGTGGTAGTGGTGGTTATCGTTGCTGCGTCCCCGCCGTCGCCGGCGCCAGGGTGGGGGGTGTGAACCCCTCCTCCCGAACCCCCCCCCTTCCTTTGGCGCCAAGGGGGGTGGGGGGTTCGGGAGGGGGGGGCTTGGGGGGAGGGGGGTCCTCCTGGTTTTGATCGACGGCGCCGAGTGTTGGGTGGGGGGCCCATCCCCCGGTTCGAAACGCGCCGCCGAATGTTCCCAAAGCAAACGCCCGTGAAACGCGCTTTCTCTGACATGTTTTGAAGCTACTTCGCTAAAGGCATCAGCCTGGCAATGTTGGACCGCTTGCGTAGTATGTTGAAATCAATGCAGTGGCATGAGCGGTAGGGCAACGGACAACAACAAGGATTGTCATTCAACTCTCGCTGAGTCCCTCGCGCCTACTTGACTCCTGACGGCGCTGGAAGATACGCTCTCACACCTTGGGTGCTCTCATTCCGCAGAGATGGAGAGAGCGGTGGATCTTGATCAACAATGCTAGTGCGCTGTGGTGGCACACCATCGTGGGCACACCAATGAACAAGTATGACCTCATCACGCAGATCAATGCGATCCCATCGTTTCTCTCTTACACGTCCCGTCTTCATACCTTTTCCTCTCCCTCTCCGGCTTACTGCGGCGGCTTTCCTTGCTTCCCCCTTCTTTCTTGTTCCCTCTCTTCTTTCACCATCGATGGCCTCTACGGTTCTCCACTGCCCACGGTGTTTGAGCCTGTCCCGCTGCCCACAGCTTCATAATCGGAAGACTGCTGTCTCTTGTTCCGCACTTTGCTTCTGCATGTCCGAGCTCCGTAGCTGCCTGCACGCCCTCCTGCGCTCAGCTGCGTTCTTGCTCTTATGGACACTGCGCAGGCCAGAGGAAAGCTTGAGAGGTCCCTTCCAATCTGTGAATGTGTGCTGTCAGTGTCCTGTAGTGGGTGGCTGATATTTGAGTGACTCACGCCATTCCGCACGGACGAGAACTCTTGCCTCTCTTGGGCCTCTTTCGGGGGCCTCTCTCGGGGGCTTCTTTGTGGAGCCTCTCCCGGGGTCCGTGGAGCGCCTGCTGCCGGTCTCGGGGGTCCTCTTGGTACGGAGGGTTCGAGATGGCAGTTCGAGCCCCCCCTCTTGGGCCCCTCCCGAGGCTCTTTTGGGGCCCTTTTGGGCCGCTCTGGGCGCCTCTTGCGCCGTTCTGGGGCTCCCTTGGGCCGTCTCGGGGGCCTCTTAGGAATTTTGGGTTGGTGATATTTATATTCATGGTTTTTGCCATCCGTGGCGAACCAGGCTGCGCCCAATAGTATCCAAGCGCTGCGCGTGTTTTGACCGGAGGCGTGCCCGTGCAGAACCCCAGGATTTGAGCGGGAGCGTGCGGTTCCAAATGCGGCTGTGCTCGGACGTTGGCCAGTGAAGACAGCCGCAGATTATGGAGTGAACCTGAAGATCGACGTCTCGCTAGACATCCAAGCACTGAACCTGTAGCGATGTTGAACGGACCGCATCCGCTCTTTCTGTAATGCCGACAGTGCTTCCCTTCATGGACTTCCAGGCATCAGTGCGACCCGTCCTCGCTGCTCTGGGCCCTAGGGCGCGGTTCTCATGGGCGTCAAACCACATTTCTCTCTCTTCGCTTCTCTCCCGCTTCCGCTTCGTACTGCTCCTGTTCCTCCCCCATTTTCTTCCTCTTCTTTTTTTTGCCGTCCTGGCCATCTCCTCTGCCTCCGTCTTGCTTTTCTTTCTCTTCTGTTTCTTCTTCTTCTTCTTCTTCTTTTTCGTTCCTCCCGCTCCCTGTTTTCCTCCCAGCGCGGACGCGGTCTCGCTACCCAGCAGTGGAATGGGGCCAGAAAGCGGCTTCCATGTGCGGGGCACCTTCGCCATGACCTCCTTGTGCTTACCGGTCATGGCCAAGAACGGCGACGGGCGGCATCCAAAGTGGGGAATGGTGTTTGAGGGGTGGCCTACGCCCAGCGCCTGTCTCATCGGGCGGGGGGTCGGAGGACGAAACTTCTGAATTCCTTGGACTGGGTACCCTTGCGGCTTCGCATCCGCTTGAGTTCGGTACTTTGGAGCTCTCGTGTCAGGGTCTCCGGATTTCTAGACTTCAGTCGGGCCTGTCCCTCTACAGGGGGGATGTTCAAGAATAGTGAAAAAATAGTCAGGGGACGATTTGTTGATTTGTTTCTGGTTATTTTGGAAAACTTCTTGGGTAGTTCCCAACCATCCTGTGGTGCTGGGTCATCGTTTTGAAGAGACGGTCCCCGCGTTCCTCTCCTCTCCTCTCCTTCCTCCTCCTCCCCCTCCTCCTCCTCCCTCCTCCTCCTCCCTCCTCCTTGCGTTTCGCCCACCCAGTGCAGCGTTTCGTGGAACTCCGCCGAAGGTCCCAGTGCTACCGCCCCCCTGCGTTTCACCCACCCAGACTTTAAGGGTATCTCTTTGGGAAGTGTTATATGTAAACGGGAGTATAGCCTGCGCGTCGCTGCCTTATGGCTCAAGGCACGCGCGCCCTATTTGCCCGGATACCTGACTTGGTATTCGCTCTGTGCTGGAAAGACCGATACATCGATCTTCTCCTATCTTACCCATCCACATTCCATATCGTATTCCTTCGACATGGAATTGGATACAATATGACCTTACCAGAGTCATTTCAGACTTGGTAGCGGAGCTGGCCGCACTCTCGTGTGGTCAGCTCTTGCTCTTCTCATCCTTACGCTACCGGGCACGATCCTCGTGACCACCCTCCTACCCTGCGCCACCTTTCCACCAACATTTACGAGGATCAACCCAAGAGCAAGAAGCAACACGAGAGGTACAACGTCTAGACAACAACATTGGTACCATATACGCTTTCATCACTACGCTATCACCGACCGCTCGGCAACGAGCCGAAAGCGCAGTACCTGAAGCATAAGCGGGGAGACCCGCAAGATAAAACGCCTCGTAGATTCGACAAGGCGCCACTATACCCGCCCCAGCGCGGGAACGCGCCTGATAACCACCCATACCATCCACAGCCTGGGTTTGGTTATCTTCGTCATTATATGGTTTGCGCTGGGCGCGGCAATCGGACACATGCGCCGAGGAGACAATAGCACCGATGGGCAAACACATGGCCCATACTGGGGCCCCCAAGGCAACGTACCCTTTCGCGAGTACGTCTACGAGGTCAACGCGTGGCTTAACGTCACGAGCGGGCGCATGACGCCACAAGCCCAAGCAGCCGCCATACAACGCGGCCTGGGCGGCCTCGCGAGGACACTCGCCATGAGGGTACCACCTGACATCATAAACTATGGTGCGGACATCGACGGTGTCCACACCGACCCAGTAACATACATCATGTTCCTCCTAAGCATGAAGTTCGAACGCCTGGAGGATGAGCGCCAGCTCACTTCAGGCACTCAGCTCATCGACTTCCACGTGCCTCGCGGAGAACGAATCGACGTTACCTTTGCTCGGTTCGAAATGGCCCGTCTTGAGGCGCAATCGGTGGGCTTTGGCCTTCCCAACTTCCAACTACTTACGACTACCCTATTCCGCGCCATAGGCGTCGGCAACCAGCGAGCCATGCAACTCTTGCAACCACTCAACCACCAAATGCCCCGAACACAACAACAGTATGAAGAACTATGTGAGAGGATGCACTCGGTAGGCCATTTGTCAGAACGGTCTCCTGGTAACATAGGATCAGTGTTCGGAGGGGGAAGGGGATCTGGCAGTGGAAATTTTTATACTACCTTAACCCCTGAGGCTCAGCCTGGCAACGGGCCCACGAACATTTGGGCCGACGATCCTGGTGAATCTACTGCTCTATTGGCAGGGGATAGATCACGGCCTAGCTGGGCGTCCAGCCCTCCTCCTAGAGAACCTCAGCCTCACCGCTCGCTATGGGGAGAAGCGAACCCCCAAAACGACGGAGTATCCACCTACTTAGGAAACGATGACTTCGACTCAGGCACCGGCGCCGACACGATGTCGTCAGATGGCGCCGAACCGCTAGCTGGTCAGATATCATGCAAATGGAAGGTGATAATCAGCGTGCCGAGCATCTGTTTTGGTTACTGCAGCAAGCAAAGCGTCGGTGGAGGAGGTTTACACGGAAACCAGTGCGTCGTGTTAGGAGGGGGATAAAGAGGAGCTTCAAAGGCAAAGGCAAAGGCAAACGGGGTTGCCGAAGGTTGAACGGACGAAGCGTCACAGCTTTCCTCCAGAGGCTCTCAGACGATCAGCATGATGAGATATTTTTTCGGGGGAAAGGGTCGTGGAACAGGCCGCGGGGGGAACCTCGGGCAAAGATAAAAGTAGGCGGGGGAACCCGCGAGGTAGAGACGGCCAGATCTTGAAGGGCCATGAATGTGATAGCACCGAACACCTCGTGAAGGATTGTCCAGCGAAAGGGGGTGGGAAGGGTAGATCGTCCGAAGTCCACTTGGGCTCGAGTGAACCTGCTATTGAGTATCTCAGCCTCCAAGATTTCGAGGCTGTGGAACAGATATTCTTCACTTGGGTCAGCAACGTGGACATGCTGGACGAGATCGAGGCGCGCGGCCGCGGGCTCTACGCGTGCTACCTCGAGTGCCTCCGCAGGTTCAACTTCGGAGCCATCGAGCTCACGCCTGTGGAGAACGGAACGCTGGGAAACCAGCACATTTCTTTCCTTGACTGGATGTTCGGCAATCCAGGCAACATCATGGCCTTCGAGAGCAGCGACGAGGACCAGATGGAGGCCGACGCTGTCGAGGCCACCCCTTCGGAGATCGAACATAACCTTCGGCATCAGTCAGACCTCTTGCCTGGGAACAGGCCTACTCCAGTGTACCCGCCAAATTACTGCGAGTTAATGGAACTGGAGTCTCAGGCCTTCACCGTGGGCGTGCCGGGCAATCCCCGCGAGCCACCTGGTATGCTCGCGCCGGGTGTGTGCGAACCATGCACGGTGCTGCAGACCCTCATGCAGATGCATGCTGCTCAAGCCGAAGAGTATCCAGAAAGTCAACAGAGTGTTGAGAGCGGCCACATGATGCTGCAGGACTCCGGCGTCTGTGGCGACTCGGACTTGCTGACGGCTGCTTTCTCTCTCATCGACGGTGTGCTTCCCGAAGATGTACAGCGGCATCTATGGTATGCAAAGGGGCGCTGGCGTCGCGCCCTTCAGAGGGCCATCGCGTGGCGTGAACAGGCGCCTCCTCCGCCAGGGCGGGGTCTCCGGGCGGCGGGGCAGCGCCCCGACCATGCGGCCATGCGCAACATCATCGGGCGGCCTTCTTACGACTATGCTCAGCTTGAGGCGCGCGCCGTGCGCGGCAACGAGCCTGGTCCGACAGCCGCGCCACCGACGCCGGGACAGCCCAGCGGTGCCCAGATGCCACCGCAGCAGGGGAACCGGCCTGTCCCAAATGGGCCGATGACTCTTATCATTGGCAATCCTACTTCAGAAGCAGAAGATGAGGACGGCTGTGGATTGTGTGACGACGAGACCACCATCCTCATGATGAACGTCAACGGCGAAGACGAGGAGGTGGACTTCGACGGAAGCGAGACCGAAGCACAACCACCCGCACAAGACCTCATCATGTCCGACCCTCAACAGCAGGGAGGCCTGCCTGCCCAGGATGTGCCGCCTATGCCTGCCCAGGAGATAATGCCAGTTCCTGCCCGGGCCATGTCAACAGCATCATCCGATGAACAGGCCAGGAGGTCTCGCTCGCATAAACGTCCTAGAGACGACCCACGCCCCCAAGGACGGCTTCCACGTGAATGGCGGCAGGCAGCTCCATCAGAGCATGCTGCCCGACGTGGGGGTCAGCTGCTAGCCTACAGCGATCCCGGGCGCAGAACGGGCGAACGCTCTGCCTTCGGACAGGGCAACCCTATCTACAGGGGCGCCCAGGGTAAGTCCATGCGGGGTGTTTATCAGATCGCTACGAACATTCGACGACCTGATAAAGAGGCAGTGCGGAGACAGCTGAGAGCCATCATCGAGGAGCGCCGCCGCTACAGGCTGAACGCTGCTTGCGGCCCGTGCTCGCAGGAGTTCCAGGAACGCCGACCTGGCTGTCCTGTCGGCCTTGGCGACGTCCTAAGCCCCAACAGGGGCCGCACTCCTGCAAAGGAGGGTCATCCACCTCTTGTGCCCATGACCCAAGAGGAGATCAATGCGGTCAACAGCCGTCTCGAGGCCATGCGCCTCAAAGATCCTCCTGCCCAGGGGGCTCACTCTCCGCGGGGAAACCCGCCTGGTGTCTCCAGTCAGGCTCGCACGTGCGAGATGGCGAGCGACGACGAGCAGGAGGTCCAACGAGTCGCAGCAGAGGCAGAACGCAAGCGGTTGGCGGAAGAGCGCACCCGCGATGCAACTCGCCGAATGCTGTTGGAGTCGCAAGCCGAAGCAAAAAGGCCACCGACGATCCCAAAAGCTTCGGAAAGCGAGACTCGTGAATACAGGGCGCCTTCAGGCGGAATACAGAAGAACCCCTCTACCCGCTCCGAGGAGCTCGGGTTCGATGTGCAGATGGGAAGGCCCCTCGCCGAGGTGCCGAAGTCAACGGCGCGAGCAATCCCTGCGCGAAGAACGGACCCCAGGCAACAGCCTCATGACTCCCTGGAGATCAACCAGCATCAGCCGAGCCGGAGTGGCTCCATCGCCAACAAGGCCAAGGCGTTTGAGCGCACAGGGTATACTCCTACGCCTGCATCGCCAGTGGCGACGCGCTCCAAGGAGTCCGAGAAGGGTGCTATGCCTCGGGGCAACTGGGTGCCTAAGATCAGGAGCAGCGCCAGCCGAGAGATGTCGCGGGGAAACCCACCAGGCGCTGCAGCCGCAGCCTCCTCATCATCAGGGGCCGCAGCGTCGCCCAGCAGCAGAGGCTCCATTCCGGGGGAACCCGCCCGAAGATGTGCTGCGCCACCCAGGCGACACTTCATTCGCGAGTGGGGGCCAGGAGTTGATCAAATATCGACGTGCTCTACGGAAGCTTCCACCTATGCGGTCAGTTGACGAGGCGTTCATGGCGAGCTGCCGAAAGAGGAATATCATTCCCAGCACTAACTACAAGCTCAAGCAGCTCAGCAAGTGCCTCAGTAAGATCTGCAGGCGCGCGCCCGACAAATCGCACAACCCAGTGTGGGAGCTGTTCCCCTGGAGCGACGGCATTTGGCCCGG